AAAAACAAAAAAAAATTCCTTGGACCTAGGAGGCAGAGGTGGCAGTGAGCCGAGATTGCACCACTGCACTCCAGCCTGGGTCAGAGATCACAGTCACAGGTCAGAGGGCTCCTGTCTGGGTTTCTCATTGTCCCACCTCCTGAATCCCAGAGCTTCTGGTGAGGTGTCCATCAGGTTCTGATTATTCAGGCCCTGACTATACATGGGGTAAAGGGGAATTGAATACAGAGAAATAAGTGCTGGGGGAAGAATAACTGTCCCCCAGTGAGTGATGGTCACATTCTCATCCCTGGAGCCTATGACTATTTCTGTTACAGGGCAGGAGACTGAAGAGGGAAGATGGAGCTCAGGTTGTGGATGACTTGACCTTGAGGTGGGGAGGCTGCCTGGACTGTCCAGCTGGGCTCAGTGTCATTACAAGGGCCCACACGAGAGGAGGAGGAAGAGGGGAGTGGGGATTAGAGCAGCGCAGTGGGAGGGAGACTCCAGCAGCCACTGCGGGCTCTGAAGGTGGAGGAAGGCCAGGAGCCATGAATGCGGGTGCCTCTAGGGGCTGGAGAAGACAAGGGAACTGATTCTCCCCTGAGTCTCCAGAGGGAACGCAGCCCTGCAGATGCCCTGATTATAGCCCAGAGAGAACTGGGTCTCATTTCTGTCCCCAGAAGTGGAAGGGCTCAGTGTGTTCTCTCCTGACGCCATGTTTGGGATAATTTTCTACAGCAACAACAGGAAACAAATATAGGAACCCAGCGGAAGGACAAGTTAAGAATCCACACCGGGAGAAGGGTGGCTAACCCGAGGTCAGCAACGGTGGGATGCTGAGGCCACCACCAGGCTCGATCCACATAGGGAGGGGTCGATGCTCCTGGAACCAGCACCAGGGGCTGCCCTGTGGAAGCTGGGACCATGGAGGAGCACAGACATGGCAGGAGAGGCTCCCAGTCCCCACCAGGAACAGGGTGTGTGGACACTGGCACCCGCCTTACTCATCAGTTCATACCTCCTGCCAGGGATTCTACTTTGTCCACAACAGATTGAACCAGGCTGTTCAGAGCCTGGACGTGCGGCCTGTCGTCGTTCCTCTTCCACACGCACATGGACAGGAAGAGAGAGATTAGTGGGAAACAGAAACCACAGCCCAAGGGACGAGGTGGAGCCCAGTGGGAAGGGAGTCAGGGGCTTGCTAGAGACAGAGCCGGAGAAGAGGGAGGGAGACAGATGGAGGGACCTGCACCAGGGTGACGGGCACAGAAAAGAGCGCGGAGACACAGAGAGGGAGAGAGAGTCAGACACCGGGGAGGGGACGCCTCACTCATTCCAGGTCCCAAGGAAGATGCCTTCTAAACTCACGACCTCTCTTCCTAGGATTCCACAGAAAACCTTCCCTCCAGGCCCTCCCAGGTCCCCTGGTGAAATCAGGAGAGACGGTCATCCTGCAATGTTGGTCAGATACCATGTTTGACCACTTCCTTCTGTCCAGAGAGGGGATCTCTGAGGACCCCTTGCTCCCCACCGAAGAGCCCCGTGATGGTGGCTCCCAGGCCAACTTCTCCATAGGTCCCATGATGCCTGCCCTTGTAGGGACCTACTGATGCTACGCTTCTGTCACTCACTCCCCCATGACTGGTCATCTCCCAGTGACCCCCTGGACATCGTGATGACAGGTGAGAGTGTCCAGACATTCTTCTCATTGTCAATGGGACACAGAGTGAATGATCCACAACTTGGAAGCCCCACGTGCTCATGAGGAAGATGAGTGTGGGGTTCTTATACTGACTTGGTGAGGACTGTACCAACAGAGACTGGCTACACATCGTAACATAGAGGACAGACACAGGGGCCATACAGGGAGTGAGAAAAAAGAGAAAGGGTCAAGGAGACAGACAGAGAAGGACACATGTCACAGGGAGAGGGGTCCTTCCAGGCTGGCTCTGTTCAGAGACCTGGCACAGGTTAGAAGTTTTGTTTCTGTTTTATTTCCACAAAGTGTTCTCTACCAGGAGAACCCAAAGACACATGAATCTGGCCTGAGTTGAGTCTTGTGACCTCGTGGCACCTACAGATACTGCCTTTATTCTCACGTCTCTGCCTTCCGTGCAGTGGATCCCAGGATACCATGGCCCCAGAACACCAGCCCTGTGTGCCGTGTGTACTTGGGGTCCCCAGACTGGATTCTGAGGCTCATATTCCAAATAACCCCACATAGTATAAGATTACTGAGAACAAAACCACATAGACACAGAGAGAAATCACTGACATCAAGAAGTAAAGACATGAACACACACACAGAATGAGCCAGGGAAAGGGGATTGAGAGACTCATAGACACATCAAGGGAGAGAAAAGAGGGCAGAGTAGTGGAGAGAATGATGGAAGGGAGCGGAGAAATGCCCTAAAATCAGGGCCCTGTGGGGGGAGGGGAGGGGCACAAGGAGAGAGAGAGATGGAGATGTGGGACGGATTGCAGAGATTCCAAAGAGAACTAGAGAGATGAACAGGCAGAGAAAGACAAGGAGATGAAGAGACAGATGATAAATGGATGGATAGACAAAGATAGATAGATGATAAATAGGTAGATGACAGATAGGTTATAGATATACAGATGTGTTACAGATATATACATGAGTGATTGACAGATAAATGATACATAGAGATGATGATGATGATGAATACAGACAGATGACACATAGATATAGATAACATATGACTGATAGAGAATTGAAAGATAGAGAGATAGATGTTACATTTCTTAGATGAGAGAAAATCTGTAGATACCAAATAGATAAGTAGATAGATTGATAAATAATAGAAATATGCAGAAAGTTATGAACAAGACAGAAAGTGAGAGACTGACAAGGAAGGAAAAAGGAAGATCAAGTCAACCACTCCAAGGAACATCAGAGGAATAAAACAGTACAAAAAGGGAAAACCTACCTCGGGTGGGGAAGTGAGGGGAGAGACCTAGAGAGACAGGGAAGGTAGAAGGAGAAAACAGACATGAAGAGAGATGGGGTGGAGGGTGAGAGAGCATTAGCTCACAGAGCAGGGGCATGAGTTCTCAGCTCAGGTGTGAAGGAGCTGTGACAGGGAAGAGCCTCCTGAGTAAACTGCCTCTTCTCCTTCCAGGTCGATACAGGAAACCTTCTCTCTCAGCCCAGCCGGGCCCCACGGTTCGGCCAGGAGAAAACGTGACCTTGTCCTGCAGCTTCTGGAACTGGTTTGACCTGTACCATCTATCCAGGGAGGGGGAGGCCCCTGAACATAGGCTCCTTGCAGTGCTGAATGTCAGTGGAACATTGCAGGCCCACTTCCCTCTGGACCCTGCCACTCACGGAGGGACCTACAGATGCTTCGGCTCTTTCCATGGCACTTCCTACGAGTGGTCAGCCCCAAGTGACCCACTGCCCATTTCTGTCACAGGTGAGGAAGCTATCTCTTCCCCAAATAGTGGAACTCAGATGGACTACAATGGCCACATCAGGGGAGACTCAGATGGCCATGGGGGTGTCAGCCAGAGATGCTGATAGAAGAGACCTAGAGAAAACATACAGAAAGAGACACAGACAGACAGACGAGGCAGAGAGATCACATCAGGGTTTTGGGTGGTAACTGCAACTCTACATGAAACTTGCAGATAGAGCCCAGGCCACAGAAGCCACTTCCCATGCATTGCACAGAGGCCCACAGGGGACACATCTAAGCAGCATCAGTACTGACTTGGAAACATGAAAGGCCAGGCTCAGGTTGGAAAGACTAGAGGTAGTACTGGCTGCCCGCCATGACCCATTTCCAGAAGCCCCCGACCTCTCATCACAGAGCGATTTCAAGTCACCATTGTCTGTCATTCCATACTCTATGTTCATGTGGACACATTACTCACCTCCCAACGAGTGAGAAGATGTGGTATTTGTCTTTCTGAGTTGTTTTATGTAAAACAATGGCCTCCAGTTTCATCCATGTTGCTGCAAAAGACATGATTTCATTTTGTTGTGTGTGGCTGAATAGTATTTCATTGTGTATACATGCCACATTTTCTTAATCCAGTGACTCATTAACAGACTCTTAGACTGATTTCATACCTTTGCTACTGTGAACAGTGCTGCAATAAACATGCAGGTACACACTCTTCTTTCCCCAACTTTGTCCAGTGACAACCCAGCCAATCTCCTTATGCTCATTCATTTTCAAAACCATTCAAAGATATTATGTATGGGCAAAGGGATATGCGTAGACATATTTTTTTTGACATAATTGTTTCTTCTCCTTTGGGTAGATACCCAGTAGGGGGACCACTAGATCAAGTGGTGTTTCTATTTTTGGTTCTCTGACAAATCTCCATCCTGTCTTCCGTAGAAGCTATACTCATTTACATACTGACCAGCAGCATGTAAGAGTTTCCTTTTCTCCACATCCTTGCCAACATCTGTCATATGCTTTATAATTTTAACAATAGCCATTCTGGTTACTGTAAGATAATATCTCACTGTGGTTTCCATTTGCATTTCTCTGGTGATTAGTGATGCTGGACATATGTTCATATGCTTTTTGGCCATGTGTATTCCTTCTTTTGAAAAATGCTACGCATATCCCATTGCCTGTACATAATACCTTTGAATGGTTTTGTAAATAAATGAGCATAATGAGATTGGCTGGGTTGCCACTGGACAAAGTTGGGGAAGGAAGAGGGTGGGTTCAACGATCTGAATTTTCACTTCAAGTGCAAACATAAATGACCTAAGGTTTCTATGTCCATCCTAAAAGATACTCATTGTTTGTAGCCACAGGGCTGAGGATTTGAAAAATCAAACCCAGAAATTCATCCTTCAAGGGCTGAATTAGAATGCAAACGGAATTCCCAGCCTCAAAGGGTGTCTACTTTGAGGGCACTGATTGGGAAGGTATGGAATCTTGAGATTTGGCATAGGGATGTGTGAAAGACCCTAAAGAGGGTAAACACAGTGAGCTCCTTAATTCTGTTCTTTGACAATGGAAGCATTCCCTCCAGCTGCCTCTGAGAAGATTAACCCTGCACTGTCTGATGAAACAATAATGCACCCCCCAGGCAGTTGCCACGCAAGACAGTGCTAATCTTCCTCAGGATCCGCCCCCACTACCCATCTTTGCTTCTAAGCCATAGGCTGAGTGTGTGATCCCTGAGGAAATGTGCTACACTGCAAAGTGACTACTAAGTTTTTCTGATTTATAAACATACAAATCTAGAGAACATGTGTACAAATGGACATTAAGGGTTTTGGATAATGGTGAAAGGAAGATAAAGATGAGCCAGGTCAATGTTATTGATATAGACCTACTAAGAAGAGACCTGCATTTAATGCTGCATCTCAGTGGGCCAAACGTGGCTCTAATAGTCTGTTTGGTTTATTGGCTAAAACATGGAACAAAAGTTGGCCCACAGTAAATGGAGCCACATTGCACTCAAAATGTACACTCCTAGAGAAATAGATAGATACTTAGACAGATAGATAGGTATATACATAAATAAACATCTTGTTCGTTCCATTTCTCTGAAGAACCTTGCAAAAACAGATTTTCGTCTAAGAGATAATCATACTCAAATCTTATTCCACTCATAATATACACTCATAAGCAACCGAGGAAAGTCAGTATTCTATATGACCAAGGAAGTTCCAGGATGCTTCCATCTTGGCTTCCCCTCTACCTACCCTGTTGTAGAGTAGAAAAATAATTGCCTATCCAGATAGCAACATTCCAAGGTCCAACTAGACGTCATCTACCTCTTCAGCTTCCCCACATCCTGTTCAGTTGTGGCTCCTACTCAAGGTCTCCAACACACCTGGCTCTGTACCTAGACACCCTTCCTGTATCCTCTATCAGGATCCAGTCCCAAGAGAGTGGCTCTTGTGGTCGCTGTCCATGGTGCTGACTGGGATGTTGCCATGCACTGTAGTTTCAGCACCATGGTCAGAGTCTAGGAGCCAACACTGCTTCCACTGTTTCATTTCTCCTCTTCCTCCTCCTCTTCCTCTTCTTCCTCCTCCACCACCTCCTCCTCCTCCTCCTTCTCCTCTTCCTCCTCCTTCTACTCTTTATTTATTTATTTATTTTACTTTAAGTTCTGGGGTACATGTGCAGAACGTGCAGGTTTGTCACATAGGTATACATGTGCCATTGTGGTTTGCTGCATCCACCAGCCCGTCATCTACATTAGGTATTTCTCCTAATGCTATCCCTCCCCAATCCCTCCATCCCCTGCTATCCTTCCCCTTGCTCCCCAACCCCCAACAGTGATGTTCCCCTCCCTGTGTTCATGTGTTCAACGTTGTCTCATTGTTCAACACCCACTTATGAGTGAGAACTACACTGTTTGGTTTTCTGTTCTTACGTCAGTTTGCTGAGAATGGTGGTTTCCACGTATGTTTACTGCGGCACTGTTCACAATAGCAAAGACTTGGAACCAACTCAAATGCCCATCAATGATAGACTGGATACAAAATGTGGCACATATACGCCATGGTATACTGTGTAGTCACAAAAAAGGATGAGCTCGTGTCCTTTGCAGGGACATGGATAACGCTTCCACCGTTTTCTGGGGTGTTAGCTGATACATTTCTATAAGCTGAGGCCCCTCTTTGAGACTCCCAAATAGAGATTCCCTGAAGGAACCTAATAACTATTTAGTGAGTGTGTCAGAATAAATTGAAAAAAGACACATCCACTCTATGGATTCTGAATAGGAATGGAGTTCAGAAGCTCACCCAGCCAGACGACCACGGGGCACTCACCCAGCAGGACGACCACTGGGCACTCACCCAGCAGGGTGACACTAGCATGGCCCAGGGTGGCATCGGGAGGTGGTTCTTCCTCCTCCATCTCAGGTCATCTCTTTCCAGACCAGGCTCAGGAAACCAGTTACAGGGTATTGACTAAAAAGCAACAGGCTTGGAGTTACATCACAGTACTTTCAAAACCTACAGCTGCCTCTTGCTATCTTTCTCTTTTGGTGTCTTCTTTGTAAGGATATTTGGTAGCTTGACAATCAGAGATTGTCACCCTGAGAGATGCAGGTCTTTGTTTATTTGTAGTCACTTTGCCTCTCTGAGGCTCACTTTGCATTTCTCTAAAATTGCAGTAACAAAAGTGTCTTCTTTATAAGGATATAGGGTGGATTGACAATCAGAGATTGCTATATTCTTCTACTTCTCATAGGAAGCAAGCAGTTGAACTAATAAGGAAGACTCTGGATCCAGGAGGCCTGGATCACAGCTCTGCCCATTTTAACTATGTGACTTAGGGAAGGTTACCCACATTATTATTGTGTCATATATAAACCTAGAATAGTGCTGGTATCTGCCTTATATGGTGTTGGCAGGGAACTACATAGTTAATACATGTGATGTACATAGTGAAATGCTACCATGTTCTTAGCAGTCACTCAATAATGTAGGCTATTTATTGTGATTTTCATTATTTGCCTAGAAATAACCTGATAAACTATGCTCAGTAATGACAGCTGCTTTATGAATAATTGCTAGGATTGCTGTGAAGGTCTTTAGACATCTGACACATTCTCTGGTTTATGTTCTAATGTTCCAGACTCTCCATATGATGTTTTAGACTCTATCAGCCCTGAGGGATCCTGGTATTTGTTTATTCCTAGATTCATTTAGAAAACAACTCCTGGGTCTCTGATGTGCCACATCCAATGCAGGATGAGCTCATGTCCTTTGCTCACTGCCTTTAACAGACTCTGAATCTGAAAACAAACACAATTTAATAATAGAATGATGCTCCTGGAAGATTAGGTGGTGATGAAACACAAGGGAGGAAGCACTTTTTCCCCTAAGAATTGGGGTTAACCTTTTTGGAAGTGGAAAGTTCTCAGGTGATACCTGAAGAAGCAGCATCTGACCCAGGAAAGAAGGAAGAAGAAGGTGAAGGTAGAGAACAACCCCAATGAAAGTGAACTCAGTATACTCAGGGAGCACCAGGTAGTTATGAATGGTTGGAGCTTCAGACGAGAGAGAAATAGGAGAAATGCAATTTCCTCTATCGTTAGAGTGATCTACCCCGTCTCTACCAAAAATACAAAAATTAGCTGGGCGTGGTGGCGTGTGCCTGTAGTCCCAGCTGCTTGGGAGGCTGAAGCAGGAGAATCACTTGAACGTAGGAGGTGGAGGTTGCAGTTAGGTGAGATTGTGCCACTGCAGTCTAGCCTGAGAAATAGAGCAAGACTCTGTCTCGGGGGTGGGGGGAGAAGAAGATTACTATTGTTAGTGGGGGCCCTACAGACCATAACTACAGTGGAGTTTAACACCTGCTAGTTTCACCAATGGACTGAAATACAGGTTTGCCTCCAGTAGATGCTGCTGTCCATCACCAGAAACGTTACTATAAAAGCAACCTTTACCTGGAGAAAAGCATGCATTTCCTTCTGAATTTGCCATTAGATAACAACGTTAGGCTTAGGCCATTTTTACAACTTGAAATATGATTGGGAGAAATATATATTGGGTGGTTAAATGACCTTAGCATTAATTTTGAC